CACCACAACGTTGTTGACTGGGTTTGAGTTATTATTTTCTAAGGTTCATTCGTCTATTTTTTATTATTACACTATAAAATATGATTACAGTACTAAACTAAAATTAATCACGGTTGTAGAACTTGGTTTAAAAAAAAAAAAATTTATTCCTCGTATGGATATCTGGTGGATGACCAAAGCAAAATAAAAAAAAGACCTTGTTTTAGTTTATTTATGAGAAGTATCTGCCCAAGGTGTATGGTGAGGATGTGGTAAATTTTTGCAGTTAGCAGTTTTGATATTAAAAGTCTATCGATTTGAGGAGATGACGTAGATGCCATGAGTTTGCTGACTTCATTCAACTTTTAGAAGCCATGAGTTTGCTGACTTCATTCAACTTTTAGATGCCATAAATTTTTTTTATTCATAAATCATGGATAAGTAAATCCATTGAGATAATGAAAGTTTGGACCTTTACCAAGCTTATAATAATGGGTGCACAGACACCAATGTAAGCATGTACGACGATGGAAGTTTGCACATCTACGAAAGTTTAAAATAATAAACTTTTCAATATGCAAAAAAACAAAGAATGATGAATTATTACCAAGCTTATAATAATGGGTGCACAGAATTTACAATCCTCTCTAATCATTCTCCACCCCGTCATTTAGTATCCTGGATAAAGAATTATTGTCAATTATAAATTGTTTTAGCCAAGCAAATGCCAATTAAGTGACTAATGTTTTAATATTATAAAAAAATATAATTTAGACCTAATTTGAGGGTTTAATTCAATACAAACATTAGATTAAAAGTGAGTTCCACATTGTATTAAAAGTACACAAATAATGCAATGATTGCATAAATTAAATTTTTAATTTAAGTCTCTATTACATTGCTCTTATTTTATTGTTCTGTCTTAGTTTTGTTTTTTTGGTACGTACAAATGCTTAAATCATCTTATCCCCAATATAAAAGAGAGATTCATACAAGCAACGATCGATGTCCCACTGAAGACCCTCCTCTCTCTCTCTCTCTCACCGAAGATCAACAGCACAGAAGGCTCCACCGACTGAACTGAAGGCTTCAATGCAAAGCTCCACCGACTGAAGGCTTCATCGCAAAGCAGGTATGGTCTCTCCACCGATGAAGTTGTTGTCGGTTGTTGATTGTTCCTGGTTTGGGTTGTATTGATAACTGCGAACCGACTGAAGGTTCTGATGATGCACAAAAATGGTTTTGCACACCACCTGTCAAGTATAGATAATAAATGCAATGAAATCAACGAAAAAATTAGAGAAGACACAATTTATAGTGGTTCGGTCAATTCGACTTACGTCCACTCTTCAATGGCTTCAGTCGCCGGGTATTTTATTGATTCAAGGGTATGGAGANAATTAAAGAAGACACAATTTATAGTGGTTCGGTCAATTCGACCTACGTCCACTCTTCAATGGCTTCAGTCGCCGGGTATTTTATTGATTCAAAGGTATGGAGAATGGAGATACAAGCTTTGAGAGGGGGAATGGAGAATCAAAGAAAATAATAATCTCCGGTAGTCGGTTCGTCTTCTGTAAGTCTCTGATGGAGCATGTGTCCTCCCTCTCCCAGATTAGAGCCATTTTATAGTAGCTAAGAGATCATCCTTGTGGAGATCATGACATATCCTTAAGGCTTCTTTGTCGCAGCTTAGAGATTATCTTTGGTGGAGATTACGACTTATCCTCAACGGAAGGAAGAGGTTGGGGAGCTCTTCATGAAACGTGGTCAAAGATTGGACCGTTTCCTTCCTTTGGTGGTGCGGATAAACTTCTCGTGCTTTCCTCTTGGTGACGTGCTAAGCAAGGAGTCTAACCGGCCTTGGGCTGTTTCCTTTGGCGGTGCAGATAAACTTCCCGTGCTTTCCTCTTGGTGACGTGCTAAGCAAGAAGTCTAACCGGCATTGGGCTGTCTTGGTCTTGGTGGCCTCTTGGTGACGTGCTAAGCAAGAAGTCTAACCGGCCTTGGACTGTCTTGGACCTGGTGGATTCACAATGAGGTTGGGCTCCTCAACTGGGGTTGGACTTTAATACATGAATTGGACTATTTGGGCCTAACCCATCAGGTTCCTCGTTGGATCTGGTTTGGGTTGTAATTTNTGGAGAAGGAGGCATTGATTACATTTTTTTTTTTTTTTGAGTCTCTTCCACTTTATTTTAAATATGGCCCATAATATTTTGTTTGGTCTTTTTGTTTTAANTTGCCCCCCAATGCCCCATGTCCAAGGAGACTTGGAGAAGGAGGCATTGATTACATTTTTTTTTTTTCAAGTCTCTTCCACTTTATTTTAAAGAAGGCCCATAATATTTTGTTTGGTCTTTTTGTTTTAAAAATGACTTATAACTTTCTTTTTGGCCACTTTGTTTTGAAGAGGGCCCATAATTTTCTATTTGCCTACTTTATTTGGAAGAGGACCCATAATAGTCAANAGAATACAATGCCTCAAGTAAACCTCATTGTGATGTTTGCATGTTGTATCCATGCTCACAAGTCATTGGTTTGTACTTATAATGAGATTGCAAGTCATTGGTTTGTATTTATTTTTAGTTTTTGTTGATGATCTTAATCTTTTGTTGACCTAAGAAGCATGAACATGGACACGGGACATGGACACGACATTTCTCAAAAAAGTTGGACACGAATATGTTGGGGACATGCTACAGATAATTGTATTTTATATCTAAAATTATATATAATTTATCACAACTATAGTGATAATGATATATTATTCATAAAAAAAAAAATAATTTATGATAATAAATGTTATATTTAGCCATATAGATTGAATTTTTAGACTTCATAATTGTTAATAATCATTAATTTTTTCATAGACGTATACTAAACATATATAATTTAAATGATTGCTCTCATATTCTCAATTGCTTTTATTCTAAATCTTTTCTTTATCTGGTGATTGTGTTATCAAATTTTGAGGACAACTTTAATATGTTTAATTTTGCTATTTGTATGTTCTCTCATAGTATAAGATACTTATTAGTCAAATTTTAAGCTTTTTTAATCACATGTGAACAAATGTTTATTGTTTAGTAGTAGACACGGTCTAAAAAAGTGTCAGACACATCATCAAAGAAGTGTTGGAGATGTGTCTAAAATTAAAATATTTTCATTTAATTATGGATATGGATAAAAGAGTATTAAACATGTGTCCGAAGAGTATAGGTATCTGACACGTGACCGACACAGATACGTCACCTTCTTAGGAGTGTTTGTGCTTCATAGCAGTTGACAGTTNAGTATAGGTATCTGACACGTGACCGACACGGATACGTCACCTTCTTAGGAGTGTTTGCGCTTCATAGCAGTTGACAGCTATTACCAGCTTTTCACTAATTATTTAACAGGATTAAGCTGATGTCAACAAACTTAGTTTTCTCTAATAAAATAATATAATATATAGCATGCACATATGGTAAATGCAAATAGGTTTTTACGTTTTGGCGACGCTACTACATATTCGTTTTGGTGGTGCCTGACAGCCCTGACCCATTAAATTGATGAGATGCATCCCTTTACCTGGGCAAATGTATGAATGCTCTCCCGTAGTTATTTCCCTGGCTCTCTAACTTGATCCTTCCTGAGGTCTTTGTTGTCGTAAACAATTTGGATTAGTTCTATTGTCATCATTTTGTGGGTAATAGGCCTAGTTTTCATTCCCAATAGGATGTCAAGCCTGTGAGTCCGGAATTGGGCAAAATTTTATATGCGATTCCCTTGACTTCAAATTCCCCTTTCACTGTCTCCATCTGCTCTCATCAGTCAATTGTTTACCAATGTGTACTAAAAGCAAGAAGTTATTTTGTTTGGAGAATATTGAACAAACACCCAGCTATTTTTCCAATCCTTATTGTACCTGCATTGTTGAAAACACATCATTGANTTTTGTTTGGAGAATATTGAACAAACACCCAGCTATTTTTCCAATCCTTATTGTACATGCATTGTTGAAAACACATCATTGAACCAACCTAGAAAAGATTATTAGCGTGTTAATGAGAATGGACAAGCACAATTCCTTTTGACATGTGGTGTTAATGAAAATGTCCAGGATGTGAAGTGTGGTGTTGATGAATCTGAAGCAGTCATAAGCACCACAGTTGTCTTGGGCTGGTGGTATTGTCGTTACCATGGGATGGATGGCATTGGTCCAAATCTTATTAACTGTCTAAAAAATAAAAATAAATTTGAAAATCGAATAACATGTTATGAGTAACATCCCCATTTTTCTTGATTGTTATTTCCAATGATACCTGTGCTTTCCTTTTCGAACTCATACTTTGATCTCAGTTCTGTGTTCGTATTTAATTATTTAGAATTTTGAAAATATTTGAAACTAGAGCTGTTCGAGTTAAGTCGTTTTGTGCATTATGTATTGATGCCTGTTTGATGCCCTGCATGTTCCCAGGGCATACTATTGTCAAGGAGAACAAACCAGTCACCTTTCTTAACTGTAGTATAAGAGCCCCACTAGATCAAACTCTGCAACGTTGTTAAAGTTATTTTGATCAGGTGGAAACTTCTACGTTTGCTAATTATTTTTACCCTGCCTAGAGCTGCCGAATGCCATGACAAGCATAAAGTTGGATGTTATTGTAGTGACTAAAAAAAATGAGGAGACCATTGACATTATCAGGTTGGTAAGAAAAGAAAATAATGGTTCACTGAAGGTTACTGGATAGAAAATTCGAGCTATAGAAATAAAATTAAATGGATGGCAGATGTTGTGGTTAATGCAGGGAATGCTGGCTTGGATGGAGAACCTCCTTGTTGAAATATGAGTCCTTTTAGGAGGCCATTATAGCATCTGCTTTGAGGCCGTGGAGGCCAGTTTTTCGGGTTGTCTAAATTTTTATGATACACTCACTAATTGGATTTAAATATATTAAATTGTAAGAGCGGATGAAAGAATTGGATAATCTTCCCAGGTTATTTTGTAGATGACAAACTTTCTTGTTTCTTAGGTATTCGTTGAGTGCTCTACTGGATGTACTGCTGTCCAACAAGCTGGCTGCAGTAAATTTTTGTACGAGTAAATTTTTGGTTTTAAGATATGCATGCCTTGTCTTAGAAACCTTTGTGTACATGCTAATGCTAGTTGGCTCAAGATCAAACTCAATAGTGAAACATATTTCTTTACTTTTGTTTTCAAATCTAGGAACTTGATAGTGGACTTGGGCGTTGCAAGGATGAATTCAACGAGTTTGAAAGACAGGATGTTAAATACCGTGAAGATTTAAAGCACATGAAGCAAAAGATCAAAGAAACTCGATGAGAAAGTTGAGAAGGTATGGGAACAATTGGTCTTCACTTGTATTGAAACTAATGCATGTATCTTACTTTGGGTTCCACTGTAGGATTCAAATGAGACATGAATTTCATTTCACATACTGCTGGATTAAGGGTGTGATAAATATGTTTGCTCTCTTAGGAGAAAGTGTTTAATTTTGACCCTTTTTTTTATTCGGTTGAGAAACAGTTGAAACCGAGATGTTCCGTGGTGAGCTAGCCAAGGTTCGTGCTGAACTAGAACCTTGGGAAAAACAATTGATTGAGCACAATGGAAAACTTGAAGTTACGTCTACCGAAAGAAAACTTTTGAATGAGAAGGTGAGTTGGCATTTGATTGATGTCTGCATTCTATAAGTTACATAAATATGGAATTTCTAAATATAGGAAATAAAGATGTTCTTTTATGCCTGCATGTTTTTTGGGAATCCTTTAATAATTTCTTGACTTCTGATTCTTATTGTTTGAGTTTCTTTTGGCATCTTCTTTGCATTCCTGCATAGTTTATCTGCCTTCTTTTAGATTTTCAAGTTCATCAATACAAAAGTGAAGCCCTCTTGGTTTTACTGCATCAACTTGTACATGCATTGTATCTTATATATGGCCCAGGTACTTGGAATATCCGGAACTCTTCAAAATATTGCCTCCTCATTTGTATTAATTATTATCGCTAAACGCAATGAACTTTTATTTTCGGCCTTTGCAGTTGATTTTGACCTATCTTTAGTAAGTCCAAATGTTCATTGTTTAAGTGGTTCCCATTGCCTCAAATTGAATCAAAACTGTTTACTTCTAGCTACCCATATGTTCTATTAGTACAACTCATGCACAGAGCTGTAGATGATATGGTGAAGGATAAAGAAATTAAAAATCACACGCTTATTTAATTTTGTGCAACTCCGTTCTTGATTTACCCATGTTTAAATGAATGCAGGCCCTCCTTTCTGGAAATTGGTTCTGAAGCAATTTGATGATTTGCTGGTTAAGATTTTGATTGCAGCTGCTGTTGTTTCTTTCCTTTTGGCATTGGTTGATGAAGAGACTGGATTAAAGGCCTTTTGGGAGCCTTCTGTAAGATGCAATAACTTTCTACATGGAAAATTGATATCCACTTCTTGATTGTGTACATGCTGCTTAATATTTATTACACGTGTCGTTTCTATAAAAATTCGAGCTTATTGTATGCATTGTGATTGATCATACAATATGACCTTGTTATGGTTCTCTCTCCCTTGGCGTCGTAGTTGATATAGTGACATTTACTTGTTAAAGTTGATCTTTGTTACAATGATTTTTTCTGGGGAGATTCCTGAAGAGACTTATTGTTGGTTAATAGGTCATCCTAATGATATTGACTACAAATGCAGCAGTAGGGAGAATCACAGAAACAAATGCTGAAAAGGCTCTTGAGGTAAGTTGCTCAGTTCTGAAATTGTAATACTGGCTAGCACCGCAAAGGCCACTACACTGATTTTCTCTTAGTTTATCCACACTTGTTTTCATTGTAAATGTTGTCTCTCTCTTTCAATACTCTTATTCTATTATCGCTAATTTTTCAGAAAGTGGTATTCTGTCACTGGATGGAAGGTTGGTTTTGCATCAGGATCAATTCATGATCCCTATTGCTAGCAGGAAGGTTGTGTGTGGTAGTCAGTTTGATTATGCAAATCTTGGATAGTGTTGAGTTTGGAGATGGTATTTCAAGGCATGGAATTGGACTGTTGGAGTTGTTCAAGTTTAAGAGACATTAAATATAATTAGAAATGATTTAAATCCTCTTGAAGGATTAAAACTATTTTTTCTATTTTTAGAATTTCTTATTCTTTGATTCTTGTAATTCATTCTTTCTAGAAATAAAATTTTGTTTTTTAAAAAAAAGATGTGAAATGTATTAATTGTGTTAGTTTTTTATTGAACACAGGTATTATTGGTGTACTGGTGAGAAATTTTATTTGAATATCATTTTTTACGTAAAATAAAAAAAAATGAACTTTTTTGCGACGAAATAAAAATCGTCGAGAAAAATTGCAGGAACAACATTCTTCTTGACGGTTTTTATACGTCGTAAATGTATTTATTCAATTATTTTTTATATTTTTTATTTATGAAAAAATTATTTGCGATGATTTTTTTACGTTGCTAAAAATTAATTAAATTATTATTTTTTATATTTTTTATTTATATAAAAAATTATTCAGGACAATTTTTTTTACGTCGCAAAAAATTAATTAAATTATTATTTTTAACATTTTTTATTTATGTAAAAAATTATTGGCAAAGATTTTTTTACGTCATGAAAAATTAATTAATTTCTTATTTTTAACATTTTTTATTTATGTAAAAAATCATTTGCGACGATTTTTTTACATCGCGAAAAATTATTTAAATTATTATTTTTAACTTTTTTATTTATGAAAAATGTATTTGCGACGTTTTTTTACGTCTCGAAAAATTAATTAAATTATTATTTTTAACTTTTTTAATTATGAAAAAAGTATTTGCGACAATTTTTTTATGTCACGAAAAATTAATTAAGTTATTATTTTTAATTTTTTTTGCTGGTGGAATAGATTTTAGCTACTTTTTTTAATTTTAACGACATTTTTTTTTCGTTGCAAAATTTTTTTTTTGCGATGAAAATAAATTTGTGTCACAAAATACTTTCTGCGACAAGGTTATTGCGACGAACACGCGACAAAAAAAAAACGTCGCCATTTTTTTTAATTTAGCGATGAAAAAAATTATCGTAAAAAATAATTTTTGTTGTAGTGCCTTCAATATTCGAGTAATTATTTCTGTTCAATTTGGAGACATTGATGTTGGAAGAGGGATTGAAGACTAGAAGTGTGGAGGTGATATTGTCAGAAGAGGTTGAAGAGTTAGGAGAAGACATTTTGGATGGTTGTCAAGGTTAGGCTCTGATACAAGAGTTAGGAGAAGACATTTTGGATGGTTGTCAAGGTTAGGCTCTGATACCATATAAAGTTGCAGTAGAGTTTTGAATCTGAACTCTCAGTTTTTTTTATATTTTTGAATATCCACAGCATGTACAATTTATAGTAATTAAAGTCTAACTGTCCTACAATATCTCAGTTGATACAATTTGAATAAATTTACAACTCAACATTCAAAAAGATATGACAGCTGAGTTTATGAGGATCAGGATCATCCTCCTATTGTGTAGCAGACTCAGTTACACTCAAAATATCTGTTTCAATAGACCGAATAACAATGGTTTCAGAATTTTCCAAGTTTCCATCGGCACCAATGCACATCAGAGAATGGAAGGCTGCTTAAACAATGGCAATGATGTGCTTACTCCAAAAATTTACCGAATGAATATAAAAAGTTGTGTTCAAATATATATATATATATATATACCAGGCTGAAAGTAACCCCCTCGTACAAGCAGAGAAGGTGGCAGAGAAACCTTAGTGAACCTACAAGACAAGAGAACGTCTATGTGGACAGTTGGCCGAAGGCAGCCAAAGGAACTCCGATACTTAAGTCAGTAAGCTAGTCGAAGAAAAAGTATACGGTGAATAAGCCGAAATTTCGTTGCATACCTGGTACCCATAACTATTATTTATAGCGACATTAGAAGTCGTGTTCCAAATAAAATCAAACTCTAGATTGTGATAGGATAGACCTCATCACTAATCTCCTAAATATTCGAGATAGAATTGTACTACGCTGAACGTTGAAGTCCTGACTTGCAGGAAGGGATATGCTCACTAAGAGGCTTTGTTTATTATTAATATTCACTTGATACTCGGAGTGGAGTTTTAATAGGACTCTGGGTCCTAAGTCAAGTTGGGCGCCAAGACAAGAGGTGTGGTGGCTCCAGGTGCAAGTGATGCCAATGGCGGGACAGCTAGCTGGGCGACGCCCTGAGGCACTACTGGCGATGTTGGAGGCTGGCAGGATGCCTTGGACCACATCAGGAGGCTGATGCCAAGAGGCTGGGAAGCCCCTTGGGCGACGCTGGGCAGGCCCCTTGGTCTTCGCTGGGCGACGCCTTATAGTTGTGCACGAGGGCGCCCCACTTGCTTAGACCTCAGTCCCACAATATATATTAAATATTTGGATTTGTGGGTGGGTTNTATGAGGATCAGGATCATCCTCCTATTGTGTAGCAGACTCAGTTACACTCAAAATATCTGTTTCAATAGACCGAATAACAATGGTTTCAGAATTTTCCAAGTTTCCATCGGCACCAATGCACATCAGAGAATGGAAGGCTGCTTAAACAATGGCAATGATGTGCTTACTCCAAAAATTTACCGAATGAATATAAAAAGTTGTGTTCAAATATATATATATATACCAGGCTGAAAGTAACCCCCTCGTACAAGCAGGGAAGGTGGCAGAGAAGCCTTAGTGAACCTGCAAGACAAGAGAACGTCTATGTGGACAGTTGGCCGGAGGCAGTCAAAGGAACTCCGATACTTAAGTCAGTAAGCTAGTCGAAGAAAAAGTATACGGTGAATGGGCCCAAATTTCGTTGCATACCTGGTACCCATAACTTTTATTTATAGCGACATTAGAAGTCGTGTTCCAAATAGAATCAAACTCTAGATTGTGATAGAATAGACCTCATCACTAATCTCCTAAATATTCGAGATAGAATTGTACTACGCTGAACGTTGAGTCCTGACTTACAGGAAGGGATATGCTCACTAAGGCTTTGTTTATTATTAATATTCACTTGATACTCGGAGTGGAGTTTTAATAGGACTCTGGGTCCTAAGTCAAGTTGGGCGCCAAGACAAGAGGTGTGGTGGCTCCAGGTGCAAGTGATGCCAATGGCGGGACAGCTAGCTGGGCGACGCCCTGAGGCACTACTGGCGATGTTGGAGGCTGGCAGGATGCCTTGGACCACATCAGGAGGCTGATGCCAAGAGGCTGGGAAGCCCCTTGGGCGACGCTGGGCAGGCCCCTTGGTCTTCGCTGGGCGACGCCTTATAGTTGTGCACGAGGGCGCCCCACTTGCTTAGACCTCAGTCCCACAATATATATTAAATATTTGGATTTGTGGGTGGGTTATCATAAAAGAAAATTAATATGTATTATTAACCTAATCATTCACATTGATTTGATAAACTTCGTGATAATTTTTTTTAATAAGTATAGCAACAACTTCGTTAAGTATTACCCATGACTAGACAGAACTTCCAATATACCAAGTAAGCTTAACATTAAAAGTGGTCGAAAATTTTCCTCATTTCTCCTAGTAATGAACTCATATGACAAAAATCCTCTGACACTATTTAAAATTAATTAGCCAAAAAGAAAGAAATAATGGGGTCAGGATGGAGCTAGGAATTTTTTGCTATGGAGGCAAATTAAAACTTAGTAAGAATATAAAACGATAATGTTAAAAATATTTGTTCTAATATTGGTTTTTTAATAACGAATTTATCGACAATTCATTTAACAATTGATTTGTTTAGGTTGACTCAAACTCAATATTTCAACATTTAGTTTTTAACAAACTTCCATTTAAAAAAAAATGTTTTTAACAAACAAATTATAAGGACCATATATATTCAAAATAATTATGACAAAATTTAATAGGAAAAAATTGAATCTATCACAAGCCTATTTGTATTAAGAATCTATCACAAGCATAGTTTTAAAACCCAGCTCGGACATCAACCCGGTAAAAAGACCAGGTCAATGGGTCACTAGTTCAACTGTTGGGTCATTGGTCGGACCGGTAAATATAATAAAAAAATAAAAAATAATTATAAATACTAATAAATAAATTAAAAAATCACAATAATTATGAAAATAACATCAAACATATAAACTATATAAAGTCAAGTAGAGAAAAATCATCAAACTTGTATCCAATACATTCAACAATTACTTGTTGAAACACAATTACCTGTTGAAATGCAGAGGACTCCAGGAGGCAGAGGCACAAACGAAAAAAAAATCAAAGAGAATGAGATAAAATTATGAACACAATAAATGAGTAAATGTAACAACAATTACCTACTGAAAACACAATACCGAAGTAAAAGTAATCTCTACCACCAATTGTACTCCTTGATTGCAGAAAATTTTAGAGGGGTAGAGAGAGCTTAGAGAGAGAGAGAGGTGATACAAAAATAAAGTAGCAAAGCAAAAATAGAGGTCTTCGTGTTAGAAGCTCGAAGAAGAAGACGAGAAACCCAACTGAATCGATGTCGTTTTCATCACAAAACCAAACCCTGATTCTCCATTGAAGAGACCTCTAAGCTGATCAAACCTGTCAAGAAATCTCTTAAACCTTGTACTCTTCACTATGCACAGAGGACTCCAGGAGGCAAAGTTGGGAACTCACGTTGAAGATGACTGTCGTTAATGAGGCAAAGGCAAAGACTATTTAGGGCAAAATGACAAATAAGGGCAAAACTCAGCTATTTATACTAAACTAAATGAATCGTTCGGTTTGATTTAACTCGCCCAAGTTGAACGTTTCAACAGTTTTTTATCCTGTTTAGTAAGTTTATTCCAGGTTTGATGCACAAACGGTCTGATTGTTGAACGGCCTGGTTTAGGTACCAGTTCATCGGGTTAACCCGTCAAGCTGAGCCGGGCTGGGTTTTAAAACATTGATCACAAGTAAGTTTGGTTGTGAAGAAAATGTTTCTAGTGCACGATATAATCAATAAATAGGTTGGATTAGTGTTAAGATACCTAACATGCTTAATTACATTGGTTACTTTAGGATTGATTAATACTTAACACAAATTCAATGTTTCACCACATGAGTCGAATGCTACCTCTAGTTGCAAAAAGAAGATGAAATTAGAAAGGATAATTCTATGTACACCAAATTAATTTCAGTCGTTGGATCGTTGATGGAACCCATTGATCCAACAACTGCAAGTGATTTCGTGTTATTTTGACTTAAAAATTTAACATAATTTATTGATCTGATAATGTGACTTTATTGAAATCTTTAGATAAAGAGCAAGTTTTAATGTTTAATAGGAGTCACAATTAATTCAAAGGTCATAATAAATCACGTTAGTAGATGAAGTAAAATTTTTAAATACAAATAGTATTACTTTAAAGAAATAGTTTCACGACAAGTTCATGTATAATTGTTAAATCTGTAATAGAATCCCAATCACTTTTTTAAAATGCAAACCTACGCCAGTTTTTCTCAAATTTTCAAATAGACCCCAAGGTTTTTTAAAATTCCAGTGGGGCAGCTCCCATGCTAGATTCGCCCGTACTCGAGTCAAAGACCAGGACTGTGGACCTTTCTAGTCTGACAAAAACTTGGAGTGATGTATTATACTACCTCCAAAACCTTATTTAATACAGACAATTGAAAAATTGTTGGGGATCTTAACAGGATAGGTTCTTTCACTGGAAAAGGTGGCAGAATTGGAAGACGGAGACAAGTCAGATGCGTCGGGATTATTCATGAATTTAATCAAGATTTCGAATCGAGAATTGATATTGGAAAACTTATATGCTGTTATTAATTATTGTTTGCTTTTATTTCTTGAATAAATCATAAAATCTGTGGCTCAAGGAAAGTATAGGAAACTGACAATCAGTGTTCTTCACGTGAATGTTTATAGCTGATCCAAATGTAGATATGCAATATATAAAGTCAATTCTAGTAATTTATATTGCCGGACTTTGCTATGAATTGAACATTTTTATTTTAAAGACTGTGGAAGGACGTAGGGTGAGTAATTGCAGACATTCTTTCTCTGCACGTAGGCCTTTGTCGTGTACTTGATATATTTCCATTTCACTCAACCGGTAACATTACACACAGAAAGAGTCTTCAACTAAAACATGTACACAACGAAATTGAATCTTGAATCTATACATGCATTGGATTTATTATTTTCCAAAGAAACACATACAACAACAACACAACGATGACAAGAACAACAACAACAACAACACAACGATGACAAGAACAACAACAACGACTAACAAGTCTCTGAGGACTTCGACATTAAAACTTAGACATACATAACACCCAAATTGTTTTCATGCAGTTCGTCCTCGTCGGCTCGTGCTTATTTTTGATATCAATGAACAACCCAATCACAGAATAATCATACAATGTGGAACTTACAGTGTTTCCCAAACTAAGTGAGGTCCAAAGAGTTCGATTCCCACCTGCACCACATATTCATTCCCATTCTCCAACCGACAAATCCTCAGAGGATCGCCGACTTGAAGACTCTTTGATACTGCAAAAGCGTGCCAGTCGTTAGTAAGAGAACGCCTCCCTCCTCTTCTTTCTGATGCTATGAATTGATACGTGACTCCGAATCGGTCACGCACAAGCATGAGCCCATTTCCGTCTGGCAAAAACGGTGTCCTGTTTGGAATTTCCAAGTTGCGCTCAACATCGGTCCTGGTGAGTGTTTTTTTAAAGCATGGAAATATGGATACCATTTTTTCCAAACCCTGAAGAAAAAAAAAAGATGAATCAGTATAAATGTATCGTGTTATTGAATAGGAGATTAGAGAATGAGGATGTGATCAGTTTGTCAGAGAGAAGAAGAGTTCAATTCCGTTCTGTTTGTGTAGGAGAGAAAAGGCTAGAGCTAGAAAATATACTATAATTTTTATCAGAGAGAAACAAAAACTGTCAGAGAGAGAGAGAGAGAGTTCAGACCTGAGAGATAGAGAGGGAACTTCTGATCTGCACTGAGAGTCTGTGTGTATTTCCAAAGGATGGTAAAACGGAAATGACAAGAGAGATTTGTAACTTGAGAATGAGAGGGGAAGGAATGATTTCCTTGAGCCGTCAAACCCATATTTATACCTGCTTGAACCCACCAACTAGCAGTTTTTGACCAACAAGACCTTTTCTAAGTAAAATGCTCACAGTTCGAGATTCATGACATTCAAGTTTTTTTTGTTTCTTTCTCTTTTGGCATCAGTCAAGTTTGACAAGGGAAAAGATTCCATTAGCTGGATATGATGCTAAAACACGGCTAACTAAGGCCTTGAGATACCCAAGTTATAATTTCACCAAATCAAAGATTATAATTTGGGTTAATCTCATTTTACATTTCGAAAGATGGTTCGAATCTCAATTTACACTCTCAAATATTAAAAATCTCAATTTACACCCTCAAAGATAGAAATTTATATCAATGTGCACTCCCAAAGATTAAAAATCTCAATTTATACCCTCAAAGATAGAAATTTATATCAATGTGCACTCCAAAGATAAAAAATCTTTGTATCAATGTGCACCTAAAATTAAATTGATAAATTATACCTAAATCCCCTCATACTTGTCATTTAATCATTTAGACATCTTCACATTTAAAATATTACTCCTACATCTTATGACATTTGTGCACGTATAACACGTAACCCATTTTCATTGATATCTATTAATATAACCGTTAAAAAATATAATTTTATCCTAATAAAAAATTATAATTTCACATTACCCTTTATTTTATGGTTCAATATATTCTAAAGTTCAAAATCTAGTTTACTATTTGAATGTCTAATAAAATGTAAATATTTATATAATGTTTTTCATATTACCTTTTATATAAATATCTACATTTTATTAGACATTCAAATGGTAAGCTTGATTTTCAACTTTAGAGTATATCGAATCCACAAAATAAAAGGTAATATGAAATTATAATTTTTTATTAGGATAAAATTATATTTTTTAACGATTATATTAACAGATATCAACGAAAAATGGTTATGTGTTACACATACACAAACGTCATGAGATGTAAGGGAAATATTCTAAATGTAAAGGAGTTCAAATGATTAAGTGACAAACATGAGGGGATCTATATATAATTTATTAATTTAATTTTAGGTGCACATTGATACAAATTTCTATCTTTGAGGGTGCAAATTGAGATTTTTTATCTTTGGGGATTCACATTTATACAAATTTCTATCTTTGAGGGTGTAAATTAAAATTTTTGATCTTTGGGGGTGCAAATTGATATTTGAATAATCTTTTAGAGTGCAAAATGAGATTAACCCTTATAATTTTCAGTGTGGTACCAATTTTTTATTATTTTTTTTATTCGTTGTCTCTCTAGGATAACCTTATTGATCGTGGAGATGGAAAGAATTCAATGATTTCTGTATAATGCAGTCTAAATAACTTGGATATATGTAATGTCAATTCAAGGTAAAACTAAAAATACTTCAAATACATTAAGTTCAGCAGCATCTTATTCTCATATATGAAAATAAAAGTATAGAAAAAAAACTACGTACGTAATTGTTGGAAGCACAACATTTGAAAATAATAATCCAACTACGAAAATACGAAAATCCAGAGAAAGGGCTATATGATAGGAGAAAAATTCAAGGCAGTAAAAATTTTTTTTTTGAAAAATGCTACATAACTCATGAAACTCAAAAGTTAAAACTCAAATGTATATCATTTATTAGATGATTAATGGATGAGTAGATCTCACTGAAAAAATTAATGAGATCCACAAGTCAAAAGAATGATATACGTTTAAATTATAATTTTAGAATTTTATTTAAATTTTATAACATTATTTATTTTGTACATTGGAAACGTTGCAAATATTATTGAACTGTCCTCCTCACAAAGGGGGTGTCAGCGAGATCTGGGTTCAGTGTATTATTTTGAACTCTGGCTGGCCCTATTTTTTTATGTCATAATCCATACCATACACGTACAGACTGTCCACTAATACTAGGATAATGTTTTGTTTTATTCAAAAGAGTTGCCCTTTATTTATATTTTGGACAAAACAAGTACAGACACAACACCACATTCAAACATGAATCAATACGTCTTTTTCCCAAAGAAAAACAAAAACAACAAATCTCAATGGAGAACAAACAACAAATCAATACTTCTTTATAATTGTCATTATGGGATGCAATAGAGGGCTTTAAACCTTATATATTCTTAATAAAGAAGAGTTTTACGATGAAAATTTTACTGCTTTGTATTTTTAGAATTGCGATTAAAGTGAAAATTATTACATTAACAAAAATTGAGCATAAATGTCTGTAATAGTAGTTTCAATAAAAACTTAACATTATTTGTAAAAACATAAGTAAATTAACTCATATCAAAAAAGCGATGCCAACAGATTCACTGTAAATAGTAAAATAAAATAAAATTGAGTAATATAACGGTTGATACAATGATATTATGATAAAAAGATGCATATTTATTTTCTAGTTCTATTTTTTTTTATCTACATCAAACATATCCTAACAAATACAAATTATGGAAGAAAGGTCTTCTCCTGCTAAGAATTGAAAAGTGCGCTATTATTTAGTGAGAAAGTCTTCAATTGTCATTATTATGTTTTCCAACTCTCCTTTACTTTCTCTACCTTTTCTTTATATGACAACCTTGTTCTTTGTCCCTGGCGTACCATGAAAAAATAAAAAGATAAAAAATTAGAAAAATAAAAAATTAAAAGGAATAGATAAAGCATCATGTTTGGTAAAGAAAGAAAATAGGAAGGATAGAAAAGTGGAAGAATTAATTGCCTTTCAACTCATTAAAATCAATCCCTCTAAAATTTCGAGAAAAGTGAATAAAAAGTTAATTATGTGTGTTAAAATATATGTTATTTATTTATATATCATTTGATATATACATATATCAAATTTATCAATTATATATTATGTATTTATATTTTTTCATTATTCTATTTTTTTCACTAATACCAAACACAAAAAAATTAATTATTTCTACTTTTTATCCATCCTACCAAACACAGAGGAATGAAAGTGTATCATTCCTACTTTCTTTCTTTGGAGGATAGAAAGTGTATCATTCATATTTTTCATCTCTCCTACTTTTTATTCTTTTTACCAAATGGAGCATAAGGGTCGTTTATTTAGAAAAAAAAGAATGGTGGGAAATGAAAGTACTAGAAAGTGAAGTGAAATAAAAAAGAAAGAAAAAAATATATTTTTTCTTTCACGTGTTTGATTAGCATAAAAATTTTGAAAGAAAATTGTTAAAAAATTCATTATATTGTTTGAAAGATAGTAAAGTTGCTAAAATTTTTTGAGCATTATCTAAATATCCTTATACATATTGAAGAAGATGTTGAATTTGAAAGACAGTGCATTTATCCACTTTTTATGATAAAATAAATAAATATCAAATATTATTAATGTAGAACTAATGTATAATTGACATGTCACCATTTTTATCTCTTCAAATAAAGGTGTTAAAATTTAAAAAGTGAAGTGAAAGAAAAGAAAATGAGAGCAAATATATTTTCATGCACGTATTTGGTTAGCACAAACAACTTGTAAGAATTTTTAAAAAAAAATTCATTCTATTCTTTAAAAGAAAAAAGTAATAAAAATATTTTAATTTTTAAAATTACCTTAATTATATTAAATCAATCTAAATAAAAAAATATATTACAATTAAATTATCTTTAATTATATTAAATCAAGTTTAACTTTCTTGAGAGCTTTTTGTTTTTTAGTTCCTTTGTTAGTGCTGTTGTTCAATTTGATATCCATATATAGGAAATGATAAGGGATGACTATATGCAAAAGGGTCAAATATGAACAAACCCATATTTTAACTGGAAAAAACAAATTACCCAAGAAACCAAAAGTATCATAAACAAGAAGATTTAGTGGATCCCAAGATCTCACTTTCCTTTAATTTCTCCCTTCTATTTATTTATTTATTTATTCTGTCTTGTGTTTTGTTTGCTAACCAAACCAACCCTAAGCCTGAGGACAGAGTACGTTGTGTTAGACAGAGAAGAACAAGCCAACGTGCAATGACAGTTAAGCATTGTCTACAGTCAAACAACAGTCAATTTGATAGAATATGGCCTATTCAATTCTCTAACTCAGTGTTAAAAAAAAAAAAAAATTCTCTAACTCAGCTCAAAAATAAAAAATAAAAAATAAATATGAGGCAAGACAGTCGGTGACCAGCCTACGTTGATGTTTGGTGGCAACCCTAAGTTGGACAATATATTCTATACTTTGGACCACTTTCAAGTTTTCAAGATTGAGAGAGAAAAAGCGAGTTCTAAGACCTAGATTTCGAGTCTTATTTTAATCATCAAGTCCTTCCTTTATGATTAAGAAAGAGAAAAGACATTTCTTATATAATTGGGGTCTATCCTCTTGCCAAAATTATCTCAAGAATAGAATTTAGATTGATATTGACACTCACATTCAAATAAAAATATAAAAAAAAAAATCACACAAAACAAAATAATTTTTATGGTTCAGCTATTGCCTAAATCAACGACAACAATGATCAGATGTTATCCTGATTTGAAGTAAAACAAAAGTACATAGAGATATGCCTCAATAATCGGATGTTTTCACAGAATTATTCTTTGTGCGCAAAGGTCCAGTAGTGTAAATTCATGCTGATTATAGATTGAGGGAAAGATTTGCCGGTTCGAAGCTCCATACATACACCCCAT